ATTCCTTTAATACAAAAATTGTCTCATCCATCTTTTTTTTTTTTTTTTATCAAAATTTACAATCTTGTACATACCAAAGTTATATATATATATCTTTTACGAAATTTTATTCTGTACCTTTTTTATATTTAATATTTCCAACGTTGACAGACGAGATTCGTGAATATTTGTAAAGAAAATTAACACATTACATATGACATATTTTTACATATATTTTGCACAATAAATTGTTACGCACTTCTGCATGCAGGGGTGGTTCCATAGCACGGCATCTCGATTCCGCTGAAATGCAAGTTCTCTCGTCGGAAGCCAACACGAGGTCGCCATTGCACGTACAGTAGTAACTTCCGGCTGTGTTAACGCATCCACCGTTGCAACCCCCGTTATGGTTCAAGCACTCGTTTATATCTTGGCACTGGTTTCTATTTCTGGGAACAAAAACCGGAATTCATCTGCAGAAATCTCGATGGTACGAAAATCGTGAAATCCTTTTCGAGAAAGAGCAATTAAAATTTCCATGCAAAATTTCTTCCACGATTCTTTTTTTATCGAAGGAAAGGATCGATAAGGAAAAAACTCGAGTTAGAATTAAATTTGATTTTTAAATTTTCATCCAAGTATATAATTTAATATTGGAGATTAAGAGAAGAATTAAATTATTTATCGTTCTTTCTTTTTTTCTTTTTTTTTTTTTTTTTTAGAATTTTAACAAGTCTCGATTTCAATACCAGAGAATACAATTATTGAATTTTTTTTTTTGTTCGCTCAGAGAATCGCATAGAGAGATAAATTTAATTAGTCGCCTCACCTTCGTCTTGGTATATATCCAGGTCGACAAGCGCATACATAGGAACCGACTGTATTAATGCAGTCATGCTCACATCCGCCGTTGTTCCACGCGCATTCATTTATATCTAATTAGAAACAATTATAATCACTATTTTTTATAAGATGCAATTATTTTAATAACAAAGAGTAATACAAAAATTTAAATTCTATTATATCTATCATATAAGCACTATTCTTTTCTTAATATATTTCACATGTATTATTTTTGTTTCAGGAAAAAAAAAAATCAAAAAGAGGAAATACTTTTAATCCAACTTGAAAATTCATCCAAATTCAATACAAAATTCTTCGATTATGACAAAAATTTCCATGTTATTATATTTTGCCTTCCTAATCAAATTTCATCATTCAACGATTCCTCCAACATTCCTCGAATTTCTGAAACGGACAACAATCCTTTAACTATCATGAAAGCCGGAGTATTCCAGTTTAACAAGCGATTAGTCGTCACGAATCCCTTCCATCTGGCCAAAATTACATCAGTCAGGCATAGTATGCCAACAGCTTTCCCTCCAAACACCCATTGAAGTCGCCCATACTTGCCTATGCAATCATCTCAACATGGACTAAATCTCAGCTATACCATAACATATACAAGAACAAATCGTCTTTCTTTACTTATCCCCATACATACAGTAATATCTGTACGATATATTTTAATCGTTAATATTTTTTTTTTTTTTTTTAGACGTACCTACGCAATGATCGCCTTCCAATCGATGGCCAATGTCACATTCGCAACGATAACTGCCATAAGAATTGATACACTCAAACCCTTTACAATCCATTGTGGCGCATTCGTCGATATCTGGAAACGATGAATTATTCTTTTCGCTTCTTTTTTGGGATAATTGTTTATATAATTGGTAAATATAATGTGTTAATATTTAAAATATTTTTAAAAAAATTCTGCCAACGTTTTATATTATTTTATTTTTCTTTTTAATTTGTTTCTTAATAGATTATAGATCTTTTTCTTTTCTTTTTCTTTTTCTTTTTTTTTTTTTTTTTTTTAA